TATAATTATTTAATGTGTGATAATTTCTCTAACAATTTTCATCACCTACAATTCATTTTTTGTGATTGTTAGATAGTATAGGTCTCAAGATTTTTGTTGAGGCCGTATGTTTGAAATTCGATATCATATTAAGTTTAGATTACATCTAAAAAAATGTATGTTTTACGACGAAAGGATCAATTCTCGATCTTTTATGTTGATTTGGTTTTTTATAATTATTTGATACGTGACATTTTCTTGATGTATTTCCATTTATTATAATTTTTCTTTATTTTGTGTGGAAATTAACACTGTTCAGGATCAAACATTAGCATATGTTTAAGTGTTTTGATCATTGATGATGATGATTATAGTAATAATAATAATAAATTGTAGAATTTTAAATCTCATCAATTGATTTAAATTGCATTGAAATTTTGGTGAACTAATTTATGATAACCAAAAATATTAATCAAGCCAAATCCAGATTAGGTCATAAATTGCTTCTTTTTTTATTTTTTATTTTTATTTTTATCATGCAGGTTGCTTCTTTAAACGGCTTTTTGCATTAATTCTTTGTTAATTGGGGTTTTTTAATTGGATTTTTTTTTTGCGAGTTGTTTTTTTTTTGTCTTTGTTATAAATATCAAGCCAAATTAAGCTATGGTTTTTGGGTTCCAAGTCATTAATTTGTTGTTGGTTTTGCATATAAATATCAAATCTCTTTTCAACCGGATCTTCAACAAATAATTCATATTTAAATTAGTTATTCATAATTTTTTTATTAGTTGTAATAGCACGTAAGAAGACGGACTTAACTATCATATATACTCATATCCAATTAGTGTTTTTTTAAAAAAAAAAAAAAATTGGAGTAAAACGGTTTCGTTGACTATTCAAACTAATTTGTAAACATCAAAATTAATCCCACCATAATTATACATTTGCGAATTACCTCATTATGACCTAATTTCTATCAAATATTTGAGCCATACAAAAAGATCGATACAAATTGCTTTCATTGTAAATCTTGAAATCAGCTTGTGAATTAAAAATAGGAAAATACACATATTCTTTTGCCAGTTTGTTAATTTGTTATCAGATGATCAATTAAATGGAAAATTATATATATATATATATATATATATATATATATTAACAGTTAATTATTACAAACTTATGCAAGTGATCTGAAATTATAGTACATTAAATGTTATCTCCAGCGGTAAATGATTCTGAAAAAAAGAAATAAAGAATTTAAAATGGAAAATAAACGATTCATTTAATAAAAAAAAAAAAGGTATAAAGAAGGAAAACATTGGGATGACCACAAAACTGTCACTTGGCTGTATAGGAAAAAAAAAAAAAAAGTAACATCATTTGAAATTGGCTTTTTTTTTTTTTTTTTGGTAATAAAAAGATGCTTTTTAGGCCTAACATGACAAAAAGAAAAAGAAAAAGTCTCAATACATACAAATTCTTAATTGTTCAAAAAAATTATATCATTCGTTTAAAATGATTAGGCATGATTCACTTAATTAGATGATTTAATAATAAAGTGAAGAGTTAATATACGTTGGATTTTTCAAGAAAAAGAAAAGGATTCAAGAAACACGTTCATTCACGGATTATTTCCCATTTTATATGTATTTATTGCCATGTCATTTTTTTATATACCTAGTTAACATTTTTTTTTTTTAACCATTCAGAATACGTGATCAATGATCACTTAGATTTTTGTTGAATTACTAAATTTGTTTTTTTTTCTTTAAAAAAAAAACTCATATCTATTGGAAGAATGATAGATAAGATATTCTCTACAGAAATTTTGAATGGATAAAGTTTATCTGCAAACAAATCGTGAATGAAATATAAATCAATTGGAATTAGGATTTTCTCTCATTCAAAAGTTTAGGTAAAAATCAAAATTTTTAGGAATTTTTTTTTAATAATTATCAAGAATCAAGAAAAAAATCCAAAAAAATGAAAAAAAAACCTAAAATCCAATCATTACTAAAAAATAAAATACCTGAGGTTATTATTATTCATTTACTGTAGTTATATTTTTTTTCCCCTTCTCCTGGCCATTTTTTTCCTTATATATGCATTATAGGAAGGCAAAAATGAGATGCAAGGCTCGCGCCTGGTTGCCCTGTGCAAGCCTGGCCTCTCCTGGCCTCTTTTTTATTTTTGTTTTTTATTTTGCTTCGTGTGTGTATATATATATATATATATATATATTACAATAGCAATTTTTTTTTTGGCTATATTACAATAGCAAATTTTTTTTTTTTTTTTGGCTTGGCTGCTCCTGGCCATTTTTATATATATATATATATTATGTGTGAAAAATATAGAAAATAAATCTTTATTTTTTTTTGTTTTATGTATAATTTAAAAATGATAAAATATATATGATATTTTTTAAAATTTTAGTGTGAATATATATATCTGATTATATTACTCTAATTTTTTAAAATTTATTTCTTCAATTATTTGTTTATTTTTAAATTCTCATCAAATTAATTTTTTGGTATAATTTTATTTGTTAATAAATTTGATTTTTTAATATATGAATTTTGGAATAAAATTTTAGAACATCGATGTTTTATTTTTTAAAAATATATTATTATAATTTATACAATAAATTATTTTTATGTTTTTTAAATGAGTGTTTTATTTTTTTATAAATATTTTACTATAATTTATAAATTCTGATTATATATATATATATATATATATATATATATATATAGAGAGAGAGAGAGAGAGAGAGAGAGAGAGAGAGAGAGAGAGAGAGAGAGCGTTAAAAATGTGTTTTAGATAGTTTGACTCAATTTTTTTTAAAAAAATTAATAATCAATTAAAAATCACAAGTTTTATTTTCTTTTATATATATATTTATTCAAAATTTAGCGAGAATCAATTTTGTTGCAGTTTTTATTTTAATCTATTGACTTTAATATATTTCATACAGCTTTAGGTTTATTTTTTTCGTGTATTTTTTCTATTTATTCTATATACTATGACTTTTTATACGTATTTATTCAGAATCTATCATAACTAATTTTGTTGTAGTTTTTATTTTAATCTATTGACTTCAATATATTTCATACCATTTGGGTGGGTTTATATATATATATATATATCCGTGTGTGTATTAGTTTTGTTAGAAATTAACTATATATCTACACATATAATATCAATTATTATTTATTTATTTCTTTATATTCTAATTTTTAAATAAAATAAGTTAGATAATGTTTTGAAAAAACCTACTAATTATTCAAATATAAATTTTTATGCTAATATTATTAAATATTTTGTTAATAAATATATATATATATATCTTACGACTTCGCTCAATATATAGATTTAATTTGTATTAATCGTTAAAAATATACTCATATAAATTGTTAACTTTATGTATGATAACGATTGTTTCATCGTAACGTAGACGTGAGTATCTAATTAGTTACAAAGTAAAGAGAACAGCTCAATTAAAACTCTCAGAGAGTCACAGCCCGAAAGGTAATCTCACAGCGTGGTGACGTACATATCTTACTCATCCCTCTCTCTATCTTCAATCAACCGATAGACCAATATACCCCCTACCTACCCAAAAAGATGACGTGGCAAATACCCATTCGCAGTTTGTGTTACCAATAGCATGAAAAAGCTGTCACTCTAACACAAAAACGAGTCGCCAAGTTTTTTTAATTTCCGTTAAGGGACTCAGTATTAAGCGTTAACTCCTTCCAATAACTAAAACAGCTATTAGGTAATTATTGGTTGCGGAACTGAGTCAGGAAAAAAATATCCAAATCCAATGCCATTATTTTGAATAATTTAGAAAAAAAATGCCGAGCATATATATATATATATATATATATATATATATTAATTAATTTATTTAGTAGTTTGGTTTTTGTATGCTGATTTTCCTCTAATCTGATTTTAATCAAATAATTTAAACTCAAATTCTTATATTACGAAAATAATTGTTAGCTCAATTAGGTAGAGTTTTCATGAATATTAAAAAAATTATCCAACTTTATTGTATTATTAAAATCGCTATAAATTCTGAATTAATATTTATCTAGTTCGTTAAAAAAAAATCCTACCTACTTATCATGCATTCATACTAGAAATATATAATTGAATTTGATAAAGGACATAAATGCAATTAAAGTATAAAGTATACCATACATAAAAATCATTCTCTATATTCTCTTAATAATCATTTTATAAAAAATAAAACAAAGAAGAAGCAAAAGAAAAACTCCTACCAAACATAACAAAAGCAAAACAGAAAAAATAAATAAAAGAAAACAATTAAACAACAGTTTCAAGGAGAGTGGGTTTGTTTTTGTTGTGTAAGAAGAGAAACAAAATCTCTCTCTCTCTCTCTCTCTCTGCCTTGAACAACACAGCGCAGCACCTGGTATTTTGTGGAAAAAAGCCAAACAGAAACAAAGAAGGAAGGAAAGAAAGAGAGAGAAACAAAATCTTGAAATTATTTTCTTACTGTTTTATTTCTTACTACTTACTAAATTTGTATTTTTTTGTTCAGTTTTCCTCTGTCTTACCTAGAATTTTCCTGGACATTTTTTTTTCCGAGGAAAATTTTCTTCTCTCCTGACAACAATCCAAGGAACCAAGAAACCATAACCAAAACAAAACCCCACGTTAGCTTCTGTCGGATGCTTTGATTACCTTTTGATCATCATCTTCAACTTATCATCAATATCCTATCTTTAACGTAACCAAGACAAAACAGAAACCAGAAAGAAAAAGAAAAAGAACTTATTTTTGTTACTTATCGGGATAATCAATTTTCAATCTTGTATCGATCAGATTTCGAAAAAAGATCGTTTTTTTTTCTGGGTTTATCTGAAAAATCGTTCTTTTGTTGTTGGTCTTTTTTATTTTTCTATGAAAGTCTCATGAATTTTAATTTTCTGTTTCTGGGAGTTGATAAATTTGATTAGAAACTGGTATATTCGGGTCATCGGATTACAATGAAATCTGTGTCACTTGATTATTGGAGAGATTATTTTAGGACAGCAAATTCTGATATTTTCGGTATCATTGATCATGCAATCTTAGTTGCAGCATCTGATTGTCCTAAAGAGTTTAAATTGCGAAGAGATCGAATTGCAGAACGTTTGTTTTCTTGTAGATTGATAAAGTGTACGGGTTGTAACCGGGTTGAGTTGGCGGTGCCGGGTCATGATGATGGCGAGAGCGATGATAGAGGTTGCTGTAGCAAGAGAAGGGATGGTGATAATTCTGGTGGTGGGGATGATGATGATGATGTTGAGATAGATATTGATGATGGTGGGTTTGAGTACGAGGGAGGTGGTAGTAAAGAGAGCAAGGTGAATAGTAGTAATAGAGATAATGATATTGATAATGGAGAAGTGAATTTGAATGATCAGTTGGTAAGTAATTTTAGTTTTGGAGATGCTGAAGCTTTAACTGATGAGATTGAAGAGGTGTCTCAGACTGTTGATGAGGTTTTGAGAATCAAAGACATCCTTTATAACAGCCAACATGAGGTATGTTATCATATCTTAACAGCATTTGAGGTTTTTCAGCTTATTTGAATGATTGGATAATTATGTGGTTTTATGGATCCTTTAAAATGGGTTTGGAGGTTTATGAGAATTGTTGTTGTTTGGTTGGAGATTAGTGTAACTTGTTCTGTGAGATTTTTAGTTTTCTGATTTCTGATTGGTTGTGCTTTGATCGTTCTTTTGGCAGGCTGATTCTGTGTTGCTTGAATCATTGAGGAAGCTCAGATTGATGGCTTTGTCTGTGGATACTCTCAAGGTTTGTGTCCTTCTATCGTCTAGTTTTGAATTGCGTGGTTATTGTTTGGCAGTACAAATGTTTTCTCAGTCTAATTTTTGAATTCTTTTACTTGATTTTTTGTACTAATGGAGCTTCTCGTTCACCAGGCAACTGAGATTGGAAAGGCTGTCAATGTCCTCCGGAAGAATGGATCAAAGCAGATTCGACATCTTGCTCGGTCTCTAATAGAGTATGTCCTTGTTTCATGTGCGATACAACACTTTCTTGATGGATTTGACAGGAAGTAAAGTAGTAGTAGTAGTTTGTTGCTATGTGCTAAATAATCAACAATTCGACCATATCATAGGACTGCATCATGTTCAACTTGGTTTACGAGGTGATTTTTTCATTTGTGTTAGTTCTCCTCCTGTTTTGTCCAATCGATAATGAACTGCTGAGTTATTGCCACTCCCTAAATATTGAATATCTATAGTTTCCATGATTATATATTCTATATGTCCTTTTAACATTTGTTGGCAGAGGTTTGGCATCCATTCGAGCATGACATTTGTTACCTTATTTGTTAATCTGCTGGATGAGTGTTTTAGCGCCAACCAACCCCCTCCCCCTTCTTTTTTTTCCTGAACTTATAATATGTGTGTGAATAAGCCAAGTGCTCGATAAGTTTATCCAGGCAGTGGCATGCTTCTTCACCTATTTCAACCTTGGTGTAAGCATGTATATAAGAAAATGACTTTACTCGTTGTTGCTCGAGGCCTGTGGGTGATCAATACTGTAAATGATGACATTGGAATTCATTCATGCATATCATTTAGTTACTGATGCTTGAATGCTTCACTGAATGTTATTAGTTTATTTTCGATTATATGATGTTTAAATTCTCTTTTGTGGTTTGCAGAGACTGGAAAGATTTGGTAGATGAGTGGTACAGTACTGCAAATGTTATACGAGGTAGAAACTTGTTTGCAAGTATTCTGTCATCACGTAGAAATGCTTTTACTATTCTTTCCAACTCGGTTCAAAAACCATCTCTGGCACCTGATTTTATGCTTGGATTTTTAGGTGACGAAGGTACTCCTGAGTCTGTAAATCCCTCTGTTGTTGATGAAGAAGAAGGGCTTCCATCTCCTCCTTTGGATGAAGGAGCTTTCTTTGCTACTCAACCTACGTCAATGGAGCTCTCACAAGTATGTTTCTTTTTCTTTTGATTTATGTTTAGTTTGTATTCAGGGCATTCTGCTCGGGACTAACTGTTTGTACTTTTTGTGCGTCCCTGTTGCTGCATTACATGAAGTTCTTTGATGGAATGGATGATGATGGAAGTGAGTTGAATTTGCTATCTTTTATTCTCTTTGATAGCTGTTGGTATTCAGCTCTTTATTTGAATTCCCCACTTAGATTCATGATTATGAATTGGGAATGTTGTTTCAGATCCTCGAAACAGTGGGGAATTCATCAAGAACCGTGAAAGTGGACGGAGATTGTCAGTTGATAATGAAAATATCACAAAACAGAAACAGCACACTCCTAATGGAGCAAATGCTCTTTCTAAGGACAGCAAGAGTCAACAAATAAGGAGGCAAGAAGCTGTTGTGAAGGCAAGCAAGCCTTCAAATGCCAATTCTGGGCCTGGAAGACCTCTAAAGCAAAATGCTGAGCAGAAGATGAACCAGGAACCAAAGTTAATTCGAAAAACAGATAAGATTACCAGCCAGAGAAAGCCCCCAACTGGTCAACAAGATGTAAGTATAAAAGGAATCGTAGTAGTTTTAAATCTACTGCTGCAGTTTTAATCTGACACTCTCTATTGTTCATCTAGAAATTCAAGAGTTCAGATGAGGTTGCTGTCCAGATGAAACTTGAAGCCACAAAAAGGAAACTCCAGGAGCGATATCAACAAGCTGAAAATGGTTTGTCTTTGTATTGAAATTGTTTCTCTATTTCTACTCAAGTTCAAATCTGCAACATTGTTGCTAATAATAATATGTTTATAATATAATCCAAACTAAAAATCGGATATCAAATCTGGTGATATATGAAACTGGTTCGAAGTTATGTTTTCTGAAACTATGAAGCGGCTTGAAGCTTGCTCTTATATAAATTTCTGTAGAAATTTGAAGTTGCAGATTCTTTCTAACAGGTGTGTGTGTGTGTGTTTTTTTTTCTGCAGCCAAGAGACAAAGAACGATACAGTTAATGGAGCTGCATGATCTCCCTAAGCAGGGACAAGTTCAGAAAAACCAACCCATGAGACCAGGGAACCATAACCGGCATTGGGCACACGGAAGGCGGTAAACATGTATAGTTATGTAGAATGCATATCCATCGTCTTTCCAATCAGGAAGTCAGCGGAAGAACACAAATAACTCAGACACGCTGTTGTTTCATCGACAAAGATAAACGAGAAGAGATTCGTGTGTCAATGTTACTGAAGAGTGGCCATTCTTGATTTCAGGGAGACAACTTTTGAGACTCGAATCCCATGTTTTAACACATTCAGTTATAGAGACTGTAGGGGGTTGTATTGTAATGCAGTCTGAATTCTTGACTTGGTACCAGGATGCATATCTGTAGAGAAAACTTTGATTTGCGCCTGCCAACTTCATTGACTGCTTCTCAACACCAGACTTGCGCCCTTTATTGACTGTTTCTAAACGATTTTTTTACCCCTTAAAATTCTCAGACACAATGAGACCACCTCCTCATTGAAATTGTAGACCTGAGTTTGCACAGAATAAGTGCATGTCTTAAAGGACACTGTAAACTATTGGTGGTCAATGTATAAGGTCAAATTGCCATGTTTTTGTAGGAAATTGAACTGTGGTTATCTGACTCAAGCAAATGATAATAGAACCTGCTTGATTTGTCACTTTCATGATTTGGATTTCCATTTTGTGATCATTAGTTAAACAGAAGAAAGTCATGAGAATCGAAAAAAGAAAAAAGGGTCAAATGCTCAAGTTTGAATGTTGGTTTGTTGGCTGGATGCATTTATCAGTGAAAGTTCTTTTGACCAGAAGTTCTGCACCAATTCCAAGAACACGTTTGCTTGGTTCACCATATACCAAAACTAATTAACAAAGCAACCAACTATGATCATTACATTACAAGATAACATATAAAATTGCTACATGTTAGATGTCTGAATGATTCCTGTCCCTAAATCACTGTGACCATGTGACAAGTGAAACATTGCCTCCTTCCATAGTGTTCTTATTTTTCTAAAGTTCGATTGTTGTTTTGACACCTTTTATTGAAAGAAAGGCAGGCAGAACTTTTGAACAGAATAACTTTAGAGAGGTCTCACCGATTCATTTTTTGCAATTTGTAAAAGCTAAGGGTCATTGTTGATTGCATTCGGAAAAGAAAGATAGAAAGGAAGGTTTTGATGTGTTGAAGATATCATATGGTCCCCCATTTGAACTCACGATATCCCACAACACAGCATCTTTCTGCTAAAGAATATCCATTTTTTCATCATGAATTCCCTACCTTTCTTTTCTTTATCTATTATTCACCAATAATTTGAACTTGCCCCCTCTATTTTTTTTTTTATCTGCAGAGAATATGTGATCATTTAATCTTCAAAGTATATAATTGTTCTAGTTTCTTTTATTCACCAATAACTATTTTTAGATACTGATCTCACGTGTACCCCAAAAAAAAAAAAAAAAAAAAAAAGAAGGGTAATGGCTTTGATTTTGTATAGCTCGTTGAGATGAGAATAGAATAAGTATTCATTCGATTCTTTTTTTATTATTATTTAAAAAAAAAAAAGAGTATCCATTCCAAAAGCAATTTGCAGAATTTAATTATTTTATTCTACATAAATAAAAATCAACCATTGTAGCTGAATGAAGGATATTAATGTAACAGTACAAGTAAAATATCATTATTGATAATACCCTATGATTTTTGTCTCAAATTTAAGAAGATAGATAGCTGGTAAAAAAGAAATATTTTCGTAAATACATCATGAAAATAAAACTTCAGCACAAAAATACCTTAATTATTTGGGAAAAAAAACTATTAATTATATTCATACATTGTTGATCTGACAATAGACATTTTAACTTTGAGAAATTAACCACAATTCAATGCCTCATCGTCCACCCCTTGTTCTTCGAGAGGTAGATGTTGGGAGAAAGATTTCGAGTAAATTATAAATTAGTTCCTATATTTTTATAAAATTAATTAATTATTTATTTTTATTTGAAAATTTAATTATTTAATTTTTTTATCAGTATTGATCATATTTTATTTTTAAAAATATCATTTTTTTCTCATTAATCCTTTTATATTTTTCTGTTTCTTAAAATAAAAAAATTAAATTAAAAAGTTAGAACACAAAAATTAAATAAGTAATTTTAAGATAAAAAGAACTAATTAATTTACCTCTTAATATTCAAAAACTTAATTTATAATTTACCCAGGGCTAGCTCGGGAGAGCCAAACGAAGTGATTTTTTTATATATTTTTTCCCCTGTGTCAAATTTTTAGGCATTTTGGAAATGAATTTGGTAGGCTAAGTTAAGCTGACGTAAGACATGGCGTCCAACTCCAAAGCCCCATCATTTTGACAATTGTCTGGGAAGTATAGGTCCCACACATTTGGACCCACCAAGAGTAGTAGTCCCATAATAAAAATGTGAAAAGATTGTAATTAAATCACTCGAGGAAGGAAGCACTTGCATTTTGCACCACATACATGCACATTCTTCTTCTTCTTCTTCCTTCTTCTTTTTTTTTAATGCTTTTGTCTGCCTATGCTACTTTACCCTTTTTCTGTGGCCATCTTTTTAGACTTGAGACTGGTCTAGATGCATGTCAAAGCAAATAAAACAAAGGGAAAAAAAAAAAAAACCTTTTAGCTACTTAGTTTAATCAATATTTTTTTCTTGCAGCTTAATTTTGTTCAAAGGGTGTTGTTATTGGATGAGGGTTTCTTTGCAAAGGAAAGGAATGGAAAGGTCTTAACTTGAGAAAATTTTGGAGTTGGGCAACACCAAGCATGGTTGTCTTTGCTTGTCTTATGCAGATGGAATTAGAGGACTTCTCAACATAAATGATTTGGTCAGATGTTATGCAATTGGGTTTCCTATCAAATTAACTGAAAAGGGATTAGAATAAAATTCAATAGTTGGATTTTCAATATTTTCAGAAATTACTCCTCTAAACATATAACATTGAATAAATATCATATAAATTAAATGAGTAGATTTTTTGGGAAAGTGATTTGGGTAAGAATTTTTTTTTACAATGAATACAGTTAGTCCACTACATGAAATATGTCATTTAACGATGGAAATTAGCGACAATAAGCCAACTGTCTCTATTTTGTGATGGATTTACAACGAAATAGCGACAAATTTATTTGGATATGGATTTGAGACATAATAACGATGGAATTTTAGCGTTGGATTCATTTCGATCATTATTTTGCTATGTGACAAAATTGCAACGGTTTAGGAATGGAAATTAGTGAGGGAATTTATATTCCATCGCTAAAATACGATTTGATTAAACTCGTAAATTTTTTAGAAAATAAAACGACACTTTACGTTTGATTTAGGACAGAATTTACTTTCTATTGCTAATTATAGACGAATTAGAGACGGAATTTACTTTCCGTCTCTAATGTGTAGCTATCCCCCATTTATGAAAGAATCAAGAAAAAAATAATAGAAGTAGCGACGGACACTAAAATCTTTCGTTGAAAAGACATGATATTGCAACGGAATTTTATTTTTCGTCGCTAACTTATAATTTTGCCATTTTTCTAAAAATATCGGAAAATGAAACAACCGGCTTATCAAATTATTAGCGATGGATACTTAATTCCCTCACTAAATAGAGAGGAATTAGCAATGGAATTGTGTCCGTTGTTACAATTCTATCGTTAAATTTAAATCCCTAAATTGGCAAAAGCTTTTATTCTTTCCCAATTTTTTCTCTCTTTCCCTCTCCTTTTTCCTCGCTTTTGTTGTCGCAATTGCCCGGACCCGATTCGACTAGCCAAGGTGACGCATTTCCTCCCCAACCTCTTCCAACCATCACGACGCTCTTCTCTCCCTAAAAAACCATGTGTTCCACCCATTTAATTCGTCAATTTGCCTCTCCAATTGTTAGTTCTCTCTCTACTTTTTTGTTTCAATTACATTACCCATTTGTATTAATTGTTAGGTTAGGTTTGATTAATTAGTTAATTTATTGTTTGTGTTAATTTTTATTATTTTTATACTAATAAAAATAATTCATTCGAATTAATTAGTGTTAATGTAGTTAGTTTATTTTCAATTAGGTTTAATATAAATTAGTTATGAGTTGATTAATTAAGGTGAATTTTTTGAAGTTAAATTGAATTTAAATTTGGGTTAATCAAGATTAAATTTAGGTTAATTAGGTTAAATATGGGGTTAATTAGGATTAATTTAAATTACTTGTTGATTGATTAATTAGGTTTATTTAAATTAGGTTTATAATAATTATGTTAATTTTTAGGCTAATTAGGATTAAATTAGGTTAATTAGGTTAAATATGGGGTTAATTAGGATTAATTTAAATTACTTGTTGATTGATTAATTAGGTTTATTTAAATTAGGTTTATAATAATTACGTTAATTTTTAGGATTTTTATGTTAATCAAAATAATTAATCCTAATAAATTAGTGTTAATATAGTTATGTTATTTTCAATTAGGTTTAATATAAATTATTTATGAGTTGATTAATTAGGTTAATTTAATCGGGGTGAATTTTTTAAGTTAAATTGAATTTAAATTAGGGTTAATTAGGTTAATTTTAATTAGTTTAATTTGATTAATAATGTCTTAAATGAATAAGCATGTTAATATTGATTAATTAGTATTAATTTGAATTAGTATTAAAAGAGTTTAGGTAAAAGATTAAATTATATTAAAGATAACTAAAAAAATATAAAAAAATATTTTGAAAAAATTATTTAACTTTATGCGATTGATTTTTCTTGAATTTATGTACATATTTATTTTTAAATTGGGTTGAATATTTAATTTGAATTGTTACACGCACCACATAAAAACCTTCAAAAGCTCTAAACTCAAGCTAAAACCCTATTATAATTTAGAGAGAAAGAGATCTAGTGGCAAGTATGACGAAACTTTACCGATACTCTTTTGAACTCTCATTTGGATTGGAACTCAACCTCTCGCATAGGAAATGGTAGAATAACATTTTCCTACCTCTTAGTGTATGATGTTAAAGATTGAATTACCTTACCGATAATTTAGACGGTCCAAAAATTTGAAACAACTTCAA